CGACGGCCCCGGGGGCGCCAGGGAGACCCGCTGTCTAAAAAAAAAAAAGAAAGAAAGAGCTCAGCCCTCCCTTACTGGGATGGAAAATGAAAATGGTCCTTCCAGAAGCCATATGGTTGTTAAATGAAAATTCCAGTACCAGGGGTAGGTTGCCCCTCTATGAGCTATTGGCCAGAGGACCCCTAAAGGTCCCCAAAACAATAAAGGCCATTGCCAATAATGTTGGTTATATACAGGAAGTGGACAGCAAAACCCTAATGCTAAAGACACTGCATGATGTGAGCATGGGAGAGGGAGAAATCAAGCTTGGACTAAGCTGGAAGTTCTCTGCCACTGGATGGGTAGCTTTCATAGTACCAGAAGGCAACATGCAGATGACTGGGGGAGAATTGTCCCCTATAACTCTGCTCAGTGAGGGAGTCTGTGTGCTACACTATCAAATATCAAACAAGATGCTCCTGCTGGTGCAACGGTGGAGCGTCTAACGTATGTACAACCAGGAAATTTTCAACTGGATAAAATGCCCGCTCCTGGGGGTGGAAAACACATCTGGTACTGTGACCAGGCCAACCCCCTGTGGCAGGGGAGAATACAGGCCCCAATGGGAAGTCACTGCAGGTGTTTTGGTAGATGTATGTGATGCACCTGCTAAAGTACCGACCAAGCACTTGTGTTTACACCTATGGGTTAAGTTATTATAGCAGCCACTGTTTAGATGTTCTTGCTTCTTGCTGTGTGTGTGTTTTTATAGTAGATGGAATCCCACTGAAATGGGCCAACAGCCCATGGAAAACAGACGATGCAGAGACCTGAAAGTTCAGTGTCTTGCCACAATGGGAGGAAAATCATCTCACACCTACTACCCCTCCAAGGCTCAGGGACTTTTGCAGAAGATGTTGGTGAAAAGAATTATGAGCCAGAGGAGGGGGTGGAGTGTTACCTGGAAGTGTCCTCAGACCACTATGCCAGCAAAGTATAGTAACACCTCCTTCCCACCCTCATCAAGGAATGGAGGGGGGAGTCAGTTACTTCTCCCTTAGCTGCATGTTGGGGAGGGGACTAAGGACATACAAGCTGAGACCACCGTAAGGCACCTCTCTTGCCATTTTGTGCATGGCTGTTGGGAAGTCACAGGGTCTATACTTGAGTATGGACTCTCCAGCACAGCCCTAAATGGGGGGTGCCCACTCTTCTATAAATAAGCCCCCACCCTATGCTCTGTAAGCAAGCCCACTAGTTAGGATTTAAAAAACAAAGAACAAAGCTAATGGAAACCTTCATTATTCCACCAAAATTGACCCCGTGTTGGCAAATCCTCTGGTCTTTGATTTCTTATTCCTACTTTTCCTCCCTTAAACTTCATTTTATACATATTTTTATGTAACTTGCTTCAAGTTATTTCTGGAAAATGTGTTAAAAATTGTCTCTTTGGAATAATAAAAATATTCTAAAATACAAAATAAAAATTCAGCCCTCCATTCAGGTCTGGGGTTTCTGAAGGAGAGACACACCCATTGTCTGCCATCACATCAAACGGCAAACAACAAGAACCCAGGTAGCTGCCACCTGCCTGCATGTAGACCAGAAGCTGCTCCACAACCAGGATGTTCTCAGCCTGGAGAACTGGTCTGGACACAGCACCAGGGCACAGCACTGAAACCCACCCAGTGAAAACACCACCCTGAAGAGACAGTTGCTCAAGAGGTCACCTCCAACGGCACACCCATGGCAACCAGGGCAGGCACTGTCTGCCTAAAAAACAAAAAAATCAGCTATATGAAAACACTAGGGCCCGGGTGACCTCGAACTACCACCGTACAACATTCACACGTGACAAGACCCAAAAGCATCTCCCTTTACTAAGACAGAAAAATGACACGCATTCAAAACTTAAGACA